ACAAGAGACCAAAAAATGCAGATGAGTTGAAGGCCACTGCCAAAGAAACCTGGGCTTCCATACCACCTCAGCAGTGCCACAAACTGATCACCTCCATGCCACGCCGAATTGAGGCAGTAATTAAAGCAAAAGGAGCCCCTACCAAGTATTGAGTACATGTACAATAAATGAACATACTTTCCAGAAGGCCAACAATTCACTAAATTTTTTTTATTTTTATTGGTCTTATGAAGTATTCTAATTTGTTGAGATAGTGAATTGGTGGGGTTTTGTTAAATGTGAGCCAAAATCATCACAATTAAAAGAACCAAAGACTTAAACTACTTCAGTCTGTGTGCATTGAATTTATTTAATACACGAGTTTCACAATTTGAGTTGAATTACTGAAATAAATGAACTTTTCCACGACATTCTAATTTATTGAGATGCACCTGTATAATGTTTTGTATACTATTTGAACTACTTTCACTTTCCCAAGTGTGGTGTGATCCCGAATCCCATCAGAGCAAAGCGAAATGTTGGGAGCTGAGGTGACTCACGTTGATTATCATTAGCATTATTTTCCTCATTCATGCTGTTCCATCGTGTAAAAATGCTAGTAGTTCTGTTAAATCTGTTCATATGTAAAGTGTTACTGAGTGTTTATATTGGGGCTCTGCATGGGGGCTCCTTGGATCTGTAAAGATTTGAAATCATGGAACAGTTCAATGATGCAGATGCACTCACACTGTTCGATGTACACAAACTTTTCAATATGTTGCTCAATGTCACTTTTCACAGTCTCAACAAGGAGCGGCAGCGGATGCATTCACCAAAGCATTCCTAAGGAATTGCCTTCCCCAAATGAAGGATGAAGACATTGAGGAAATGATGGTGCACAAGGCAGTGGTACTGGAATATAAAAGACCAAAGAAGAAAGGAAAGACAAGAAAGGCCAAGGGACTGAATGCCAAAGAAAGAAGACAGCTGAAAATATTCCAGCTCAAACCTGCACATCAAAAGTATACTCTCTTTCACTAGTAGTATTGTATCATGTGAGTAAAAGTACTGCTTATCACTAAAATCACTCATGCATCTTTGGTAATGATTGTAGATATGTACTCTTCTTGCCTCTGCATGAGCTATGGAAACAGTACATTGTGGATCTGTGTAATGGATTGAAACCAGGAAGGTAAGATGCGTGTCATAATTTCCAGAAGATGTTCTTTAATATTTCTGACTTTTTGGGTGTAATTTCATTTCCAATCTTGCTAACGCTCCATGAATGTGCTCCCTGTTTCTTTTGAATGCAGCAACCCACAGATGATCCAGCAGAAGCTCTTGAAAGCTGATTTCCATGGTGCTGTCTTAACAGGTACAACGTCATGCCCATTAGAAAATGTCTGTGAACAAAGGAACACATTTTTGCTTTAGCAGCGGTATATCCTGATTCAATTTAATGGTGATATTTTTAGCATGTAGTGGAACCTCATGTTCTCTCTCACATCTCTTTTCCTTGTAGTTGTCAGATCAAAATGCCCCTCGTATGTTGGTCTAACTGGCATCCTGGTACAGCAACTGAAGCACGTCTTCAAAATCACTACAAAAGAAGACAAACTGAAAGGTATATGTGTAAATATACATTATTTTTACAGGTTCACGTCATTTCACTACTGTATGTCAGTACTCAAAGATGCCATACCAAGCTTTTGTCCATTAGTCTAAAGGAAGGTGCAGCCAGTGAGTCCAAAACAAATGAAATATGAGAAATTTGCAATTAACTATAAAGGTTTTACTGTGGCTATATGCACTATGGTAATCAAGTCAAAAAACAGTATGTAAAACTTTATTCTTTTATCATTGTCCAGACTAGGGGTTTCACTAAATACTGGTATAGAGGATAACCCTGATACTTAAACAAATGAAGACTGATACCCTGTTAAAAGGACAGGTCACCCAAAAATAACAATTTACACATTAATTACAGTAACCCTCTGGTTGACATGTTAAAGATGAATTTGAGCATTATTTATTCTAGAGATATCACAATAATATGAATATCATGAATGTGTTGTTGACCATGATAATAGTTTAGTAAAAATCTGATCGTGACAGCCCTAGTCCAGACCGAAAGTGAGTCCTCTCTCTGTGTCACGAAAATAATTCGAACTTCTTCCTCGCAGTCATTAGCCACCTTTCAGAACCCTTGTGCCAAATGAACCTGAGAACAAAGTCTTGTCAAAATATATTGTGTAGAAAGATCTGTTCCTCTTTTTTGTTTGACTGTTGATTAACTTTAACCTCTCAGACAGTGTCGCTCATTCATTGTCAAGCATATGTTTTTCATTAATTTCCTTTGAATATTGACTTTTCCCCTACTCTCTTTCTCTCTCTTTTTGCAGTTATCCCAAAGAGGAATAGTGTGTTCAGTGTGGAGCTTGGTGATTTCGTAACACACATCTATGGCAGCAAGTTTGAACTGCGCTCCAGTGAGCGGTCAGCAAAGAAATTCAAAGTAAAAGGAACTATTGACTTGTAATGGGACGTTTTAAACATCATGTCAACTTTAACTGTGGACTCATACTGGAGAATTAAGAGAAGACATTTAATCATTATGAATTTTTTTAGCTTCCTCTTATTGTTATGACTCTTTTTTTTTTAATGCTTTGAGCAGGTATGAAACTATATGGGCCATTTAGGAAAAGTAGTTGCTTTTGATTGTCCACCAGGGGGAGCCTTTTTGGAGGAGAAGGGAGTAAGAATGAATTTTGACCTCTTCTTTCTTTTTTTTTTCTTTTTTTTTTTAATCATACCTGTCATTTCATTTTTATACAAGGTTCCCACAAACTGTTTATTAATGACCTTATTATATCGTCAGGGGTAGGCAGCACTCTAAATGCTACAAAAGTGCTTCTTCCTTAAAAACACCTTCAAAACTCTTTTGTTAATGTTCGATGTGATAGTAGATCCACTGTAAGAATGTTTATATTGTACAATTATTTCCTCATAGTGCGAGGTATTTAACTAGGTTATATAATGTTTATTTTCATACAACTTTAAGTGAAGTACTGTTAGTAGCAGTTTTTTTTTTTAAGAATCCAGTGTTCTTGAACTAGCACCACGTCAGATTTCAATTAAAAGCATTTCAAGTAAAAATGGAATAAGTTATGTGGTTTTGTTTCACTGAAGTATATGTTGTAATATTTGCCGACTTGCAAAACAAGGAACTTTTTTTCCACACTGAAATTGGGCCTGATACTTAGTCAAGGTTTTTCCTTGTTAGTTGACTTGTAAATAACTCTTCTAGTAAAAAAAAATCCCTCCTTCCTATACAAGACACAGAACAGGTTTTCTAATTAAATACGTAAGCGTTTGTTTAATGATTATATTTATTGCTTAGTGTTTTTTTTTCCTGAGAGCACATAGTACAGATTTTGAGTAAAGACTGTGTTTGAGTTAAAGGAGACTATGACTGCTTGTTATGTACTGAAATAAGACAACTATGGATGTCATCATTCTTGAAAATTCACATGAAGTCCATTCATCATTCTGGTGTGCAATGTCTTTTATGAGAAAAGAGGTCCTTACATTAAATGTCTCCTCCTCTGAAATTACTGTCAATAGTGTTGCATCATAAGATGTGCACTTCCTCTAAATCACTTGTTTTTTTATTTCTACACAAAACATAAAAACAAAAGTCGCACGTAAAGTTTCAGGTTGTGCTGTGCATTAAACGTATAGGCCTTGAACATATAACAAGCCTGTTGTTTACAGTCACTTTGCAGAAATTTCTTTCCAAAATCTTGTTAGCCTGGTTATGGCATCTGACTGGTTTAAGGGTCAAAGTTCTGTTGTTGTTTTGACTATTGCTTTGTACATCTGATAATGGAGTTCTCTGCTATCTAAGCCAATACTGTTTATCAGATAAACAACAAATATAGACTTAATTGTTCACTTCAGCCCACACATTTTTCACTGTAATGGGAAGTGCGTATGAAGAAAGACATCTTTCTTCATCATATAATTATTTGAATAAGACCCATACAAATGACTGCATTTATTTTACGATAAAAGAATGTAATGGGAAAAATCTGAACAGTACTGAGAACAGGAATTTTAGATGAAAAGAATGCCACTACATTACATTTATGCTTTACTTGTATGAATGTCTTGGTTGTGCATTTTATTTTAATATTTATTTTAATATTTAATGTGGTTTTATTTCAATTTGAATCATTTTTGTACTTCAACTTAAACATTTAGTTCATTGCCAATGCAACATATTTTAAATTTTTGTTAAGTTTTTCATCTAATATTTATATATTTTTTATTTCAGCTTTAAATCAATTAATTAACCTAATCTGTGAAATAAATTAGACAGGTGTGCAAAAAATACAGCACTTATAAGTGTTACATTCAATTTGATGAACAAGAGGTCTAAATAATGTCTTGGCCGCTTATATTACCTCTTCACACAGAATTCTAGAGACATGACGTTAGGTCAAAACATTTTATTTTGTATCTATATGTCTTGAGTATGTGTCTTAGTTTGTGCCAGTCAAGCACAAGGAAGGTTACACCTCTAAAATAGTAGAGGCTGCAGAGCAGATCTGGAATTTCCCCTTTTCAAACAGGAAAGACAAGCTCACGACACTATAAAAGGGCTGTCTCGAACAACCTGCCCAGAGAAAGGAGAGATCTGTAATGCCGAACACAGAGGAATATTTTTATAAGATTTTTATTGGAGCTCGTAGGACAAAAGAACTGCGAACAGATACTGAGTCTGTTTACCCAGCGATAATTCACTGCTTTCCACAGCAATCGGGTATTGCTGAATTAATATTTAAGATGTTTAAACATTTATTTTGTGTGCGTGTATTGTGTAATTTCGTTAATTAGAGTAATCGGGTTAAAGTCCTTTGAAAGTACTGTTAAGAATTAATAACTAAACCTACATGTTGGATAAATTCATCCAATGGTTACATGTCCATCGAAATCAAATTGACCATTTCATTGTTTTTACATTTTACAGGCAGTACCAAAATGGCAGAACAACTGACTTTTACTATTCAGAACCGTGAGCGAATCCAGGCAGTGGAGAGCACCTTCGGCCGAACCGGAAAGATGCTTCTCAAACCGGGGCGTATTCTGGTGGGAGAGGGCTGCCTGTCAAAGCTGTGCAGACGTGGACCCAAACCCAAAGTGTTCTTCCTCTTCAATGACATTTTGGTCTACGGTAGCATCATGGTGCCCGGTCGCTGGAACAATAAGCAGAAGATCATTCCTTTGGAGGATGTGCAGCAGGAAGATCTGGAAGACGGAATGGCCATGCCCAACCAATGGCTCATCCGCACGCCACGCAAGTCTTTCTACGTGTCGGCGGCCTCGCCTGAGGAAAAGAACGCGTGGATGGGACATATTGAGCAGTAAAAGTCCCTCCTAGTGCAAGCTAAGGGCCTCCCCGCTGACAATGCTGCAGAGAACTTTTTTGCTGCAACCTGGATCCCTGACATGGCATCGGCCATCTGTATGCGCTGCTCGAAGCGATTTAACATTGCCAATCGGAGGCACCACTGCCGGAGATGCGGTTATATAGTATGTAGAGCTTGTTCAAAGAGCCGGGCCTTGATACCGAACATCTCCTCCAGACCGGTGAGAATTTGCCGGGCCTGTGTGAGCAGCATTCATGAGGGAAAAGAGCAAGGAAAGCAGAGAGCTAAGGGTAAGCACTGGAAGAAGAACTCCGTAGAGGACACGCCAACGCTACATGAGTATGAGATGTCCAGTGATGACGAGTCCAGTGAGCAGGGGTACCAGGTGCCCACCAAGTGGTTCAAGAGCCCGGAGGATGAGGATTACTCCCCATATTGCTACATAAAGCCTGAGCACAGGAATCATCCCGTCAGTGGACTCTGAACCTGACAGATGTGATGAAGTGAACTATGCTGAAACTCATCATGTGTTGCACCTCTCCCAAGAACAGAAGCACAGAGACAGAGATGAATAGCAGTAATTATAAAGTATTTTGCACTAAAGTATTTGAGTCACTTCTATGACTTCTGTTTTGCACATGTATTTGTATGTATATTTGTATATATATATATATATATATATATATATATTATAACTTTATTGTATAACAAATGTTTATATTATAGTTTGTATAGTATTAAGGGAACAATGTGACTTTTGCAATTAGTACAATAAATAAGCATTATCATAAAATACTTTGGTGATTGTATTAAACTCACACACCATATTTTGTGAGCGTACATGTTTATTTATAAACCAAAGAAATAATTGAAACATTCCTAAATGCTATAGTGTGGATTATATTGAATTCAGTATCTTCAACAGAAGTATTCTCACTTCTCACTGCAGGCCTATGGAGTTTAATTTATCAAAGTTATTAAAGTAGACAGTATTACCCAAGATTACAATAAACATACAAACATTACATCCTTTGTCAGGACATAATTTCAGTATTTTAGTCTAGGTTTTCAATAACTAACTTAAATTTAATTCAATTTAATCATAAAGCTTTATATATTCTCATTAAAAAAACATTATGCATTGACATTATACTCCATATTATTATATCATGTTACCCTGGCATTAAATGACAACATAGACACAGACACATTAGAGATTATCTAAATTGTTATTAATGGAAATAAATGGATAAATCATTGATAATCAGTAGTCCATCTCGTTTTTGAGGACATAATTGCAGAATTTTAGTCCAAGTGACACACATGACTGATTATGTATTACAGATAAAAAAAAACTAAGGGAATATTGTGCACTTCAAGAGGAGTTGAAATATCATAACAAATGACAGAGTAAATCATATTTACAAGTGGAACTCTTAAGTCGATATGAAACATGGTGGAAA